AACAAATAAAATAAAATACATACAAAGCAGAACACAGCTAAATGTATCAAAAGTATGTCTATGTAATATTAGAATTTTTTGAGACAATCAATTTTGGTTTTTCTTTTATTTTGTCAGTAAGAGGTTTTTATTTAATAGAATTTTTGGACCAAAAAAAAAATCGCAATATACCACCTTGCTTACAGTATCACAATATATTGGGATATATCGTATCATGACCCCTCTATCATGAGATGTATCGTATCGCCAAATTCTTGCCAATACACAGCCCTAGTTTTATGATTTTACTCTTTATCCTCTGTTTTCTCTCAGATAAAGTGTTTTACAACCAGAACAATATCTGTTTAGGTGTAATCATTCTTATTGCTGTTTATTAAACATCGTTCTCTCCTTGGCCCAGTTTCGGCACCAAGAGAGATGTTTATTGTCTGTCTGAATAACATACTGTACAAATTTGTGTATTTGAAACTGCTTCAGGGCACACATTCCATGTACCACTGCACTGTGTGACATGGTGTGTGTGTTGCAATTGCAATAAATCCTGATAAACCATTTCAAGGAGTACTTTTTATTCTTGGATCACGTGTTTCTATCTTGGGTGAATAAAGATTTCTATGACAATGTGCATCCTGCAGTTGGTGGAATTTACTTCCTGAAAACTTATGGAAAAAGTGAATGAAAATTTATTGATAAAATTACTAAATATTATGATTATATTATTTTTCCTTTAATGTGCCTCATTAGTGAGATGACTGCTTTAGTTCTCCATGAAGACAAATAGTTCTGAAATCAGTACTGTTATCGCTGACTGTGCATGTGTTATGAGTTTTAATTCTGCGGTGAGGAGTTGTTGYGGGGGAAGTAAAATTAAATAGAATAGAATAAAAAACAATAACATACGCTTTCAGCTCAGGTTCACTGTCCAGGTTCTGATCTTGTGTGACTGTGGGGGCGACCTGTTCTCCCTCCTCCTCATCACTGGTCAAAGTGACATCTTTACTGGGGGGCAGAGTTTTAGGCAGGTGGAGGCTGGGACCAGTGTCATCAAGATCAAGTTCATCTTGGAAACCAGACACCATTGGGTTTCCTCTGGCTTCTCCATCACTGAGGAGAAAAAAAAAGTACCTCCATTTTTGTTCTGCTGTAGTTTTAAGTATTTAAAATGCATATAATGAACTCACACAGCAACATTTACTAAATGTCTAGTTGACAACAACTGCAGACTGCCTGAGCAAGCAGAAAACTAACTATAATGGAGAATATCTGCTGGGAATTCTACTGTACAGATTTTCACCAAAAATGTACAAAGTAAAGAGAAAACAACGGAAAAGAAAAGCTCAGAAATTCAGTATCAAAAATGTAGATTTATATTAAACACTGTTTCTACTAGTCTTTTTGATGGAAACTAATTTTTTTCACAATGCTTTACTAAAATAGAGGAGGTATTTGGTATCTTCCATTGATATTCTGAATACAGAAAATATGAATAATGTGACGCACAGCTTTAGTATGGCAGCATGATCTGAGCTTGGGTGTTTGGTTTATAAAAAAATATGGTTTTTCAATCTGTGTGTGAGAAAAAGCTGAGCTTGGAAATGCACATAAATCATCATTCTGATTCAGGCAGGAAATACAGAATCTGCTAATTAAACTGGAACACAAACTCACTGACTCAATCTTCCATTAAAATAATATACACTGCCAAATAAAGGATGATTTAAAACAGGGTCAGCCTGTGGCATAGGCCAAATAGACAAAAGCTAAGGGTGCCGCCCATCTAGGGGGCATCATAAATGAGAACGGGTTCTATGCAGACTCAAAGTAGGCGTTTCTCAAGCATAAACATTGTTGTTGTATTTGCTCTGTTTTTCGAAAAGGTTGGTTCTTCTCTTGCATTTTTCTTTCACTTTTGACCACTTTCACATTAAAGTGTATCTTACCCCCCTGTGAAAAGATAACTCCGCCCCAAGGCGAAATTTGAAAAATGCATCAAAGTGGGTAGGGGAGGGGGTGTTAGAAAGCGGAGGTGTGGCCAGGACGAGAGAACGTGACAGGCAGCTAGCATTAGCATAATTGATGCTACATGGAAAGTGACCACAGTATCGCAGACAGTTCTATTTCGTGTAAGCTCCGCCCTCTAAGGCTATCG